GGGTTTTCAGTAGATATTGTTGAGTTTGGGTACTTGGCAAGACAACCATTTGTTGGCTGAGACCAACAAACTTCGCCAACTGCCTCTATCTTTTGCGTGGTGGCGCCCGTTGTTCATCCCGGGTGCAGACAGGTGCTTCTTCACTTGTTCCTTCCATTGTGTTAATGGGCATACTTTCTTCCGTTGTCAATCCGTAGGTGTTGAGTCGAAGTAACTTTTTACTTGATCCTTGTCATCCATGCCTAAAACATGGCCAGGCTAGCGCGATCGCACTATTTTTATGCGCTTCGGTACTCCCGAATTTATCAGGTAGTGACTGACTTCCCTCTCAATTGCTTCAGACTATTTTCTAATTAGTGTCATATGGGTTACAGGCCACTGCGATATTACGCATAACTGATGAGTTTGCGAAAAAAGTTACCCTTGAAACCATATCGCGGGGCAAGGAGCGGGCGAGAGCGGCACTGACCGGCGACTGTGGACTCTAGGCGAAAAGGACCTCGTGACAGCTCAGCGGAAACTAGGACCTGCAAAATTCTAAGGTCCAGCAGGGCAGAAGTGACTGGAAGCGGCCGAAAAAGCTAACTATGCTTCCATATAAAGCCACAAATCTCAATTTTTGTCCTTGAAGTTCACTGCCCAACCTCTTAAAAATCTCTCATTCCTAATGTTATAATTGTTTTGTAGACGACGAGCTGGATTCGGCTTAAAATTTATTTTAAGATGTCCTCTACATCGCACTACTTAACAAGCAAATAACAAAAGTTCGCCGTACACCCCTGAGTCTTAAAGCGGATTCACCGTTCGTGTCCGAACACTTTTTGTTAGTAATTTTATGCGTTCCTTTCCCACTCTGTCTCACCGAGAGCGCGACCAAAATGTGCTGAACACTCTTTGTTCGAATCAAATTGATTTCGATTTTCTGTACGAACGACTTGTTGCCGCGTTCTCCTTTGTATGCGTTTGCAGCGAAATGCATGTATTATTTGCCCTCAAAATCGTATGTAGCCAACAATATCATCAGCTGTTTGCTTCAGAACAAAATCAAATGAGCCGAACTGAACCGTGAACCATACTTCAGCACCCTCTCCGGAAAAATGTTTTGAGAGCAAATAAAAAGTTATTCGGACACGAACGGTGAACCCGCCTTAAAGTATTTATGCAAAAGAAATTTCGAAAACAAATTTTTTTTTGACTGAACCTATGGGTTTATATATTTTGGTGACCTTTTCATTGGACAATACAATTTTTATTATTGGTTCTACGGGAATAATCAAAATATTTTTTTGGCAAAAGTTTTATATTTTTTGGCGAGCAGGAACTGAGAACTACAGGGTAAGTACTAGAATAGGGTACTCGAAATTGCCTTAAAAAAAAGAAACAAATAAATACTTTAAGAGCGTCCACTTCAATTAAGCTTACTACTGGTACCTTAACTAAATGTATAGCATTCTTCAGAAGGCAAAAACTTTCCTTGATTATATTTGTTTAAGTACTGTACTCGAGAGAACATTTTGCAAACTTATACAAACACGTAAATATGTATGTATGTATATAAATGTAAATAAATATGCAGCTTATGTTGCAATAATTGGTAATAGTTTGTAAATGTAACAGCGAAATGTGTGGCAAGGCAAATACAAAAAAAAAACAACTACTAAGGTGGCGCTTATATTTATGCACATATGTATTTGTAAATATGTAACGTGCGCAAAATTAACAGTAAATACGAGGGAGGACAAGTGACAACAGCAGACACTGCTGTGTAAACCTTTAAGCATACGCACACGCACATAGCCTACCACTGAGCAAACATAACTATTCACCAAACTAAATATCCGTTGCCAACTATATAAATACATACATACATACATATTACATACTAGTTGTGGCTGCGACAAATCAACTCGCACACTTAAGTGACCATGAAAATGTTGTTGACAGCCGAGCAGCAACTGTGAACGACGCTGAAGGACTGCCAACAAACAACTCAACTAAACTCGGCGATACGAAATCCCTGGCACAAAATGTTCTGTTCGCTGGAGACCGACATTTAACTACACAAAATTTAAGCGACACATTTATTTCGGTTAATAGCTACCCAGTAGGAATAGGATTGCTTCTGGCACAATTCACCCACATTCTAGTTTTGATCATTTGCTTGTTAATCCTGTGTAAGAGTTTGAAACTTGAGATATTATTCTGTCCGATATTGAAGGTTCAACGGAACAACAATGGTTTCATGGTGTTCAACATTTAGCTCAGTTTTAGGAACAAGTTTGACTGCTGTGCTTGAGCAGGCAGTGGAGCGGTTTTAAGCCATTCTAAAAGCTGGAGGAGTTGAGCTAAGGGTACAACAGACCAACCGGTCTCAGTGCTTTAACTGACTATTTATCTATCTTTCTATATGTAATACATAACTTCTGTCGGAAACTTTTTTCTTGAATGGACTTCCGGTTAAAATAATGCACTTCCGGTCTGTAGATGTAGATAGAGCATCCCGGATTTGGTTATTCTATTTTTTTCGTCATGCAATAAAAATATGTTCGCTCATTTAAGAATACCAGGACGAGTTGAAGTTCCAAGGTCATTTAGAATTTGAAAAAGGCGCTTCCGGGTAAAAAGTTTCAAACTAAAGTTACGTATTTTTATCCTCAGAATCCAAATCAGCTTAACCCACTTCGGGTCGAAATCGGACACTTCCTGACACTTTTGACACTCAATTTCGAAGAACTACTAAATATGTAAGGAAGTTTTATAGATACTAGTGAAGCCGCATGGCGTTTAAATGCCCAAAATTGAATTTCAAAACCCTAAAAAATATTCCAAATATTAGTCACAGCTATAAGCGATCAAAGTACCATAATAATAATCCTAATAGATTGGCGCTTACACATATGTTAGTGTTTGGCCGAGCTTCTCCTCCGATTTGTGGCGTGCGCCTTGATATTGTCTCATAAAGCGGAGGGACCTACGCCGACCCCGAACGGCGATTGTATTTTTATGAGAAGCTATTTTTCATGGCAGAAATATACTCGGAGGTTTGCCATTGCCTGCCGAGGGACGACCGTTGTTAAGAAACAACCTTTTTTCTATTTTTTTTGCGATGTTGCTTTGACCAGTGCTTGAACCCAGGCGTTGCTGAGTGGAAGCGCGCACTGCTTACCACTACACCACAGCGGCCGAGATCAAAGTACCATATTTCATCTAAATCCGTGTAGCCGTTTTTTAGTGAAGAGAGGTCTCGCATAGGGCAGGTTTTTAATTTCATCAAAATTTCAAATCACCTTTTACCGATAAAAAAAAATCTTAAGTAAAAAAGTAGAACTTTATCTACAAGTTAAGGTCTTTAATTTGACCTCTCATTTTTGAAATTCAAAATAACGCTGTAAATCGAATGACTATCACACAAAATACCTTCTCGTATAATATACATACATATACCTATACTTTTAGATCGATATGTTTTTTTTCGGAAAGGTGGCCAGCCTTATTAAAGATATTTTCAAACTAAGCTTTCATAAATTTCTTTCGATTCACACCCATATCTACATAAATATTTTATTAAAACTGTTTATGCGTTAACTAAATTAAAAGTTATTTCAAACTAAAATATTCTTAAATTTCTTTCGCCTGACATTGTGATACACGTGTGTTTCAATATCAGATGAACTAATTTGATTTTTATTGTTCAAACACGTTGCAACCCTCCTAAATAAAGGTCAGAAGATCATTTCGATTGATACTCATCCTTTAATAATTCGTTGAACTTATTGAATAATTTGAATATAACTTCTTAAACACCTGGCAGCCTTCTTCAAACGTTCCAAATGTTCAGACTAAATATTTCTTAACACTCTTTCGTTTGACTCCCGTATTTATATAACTCAAATAAATTTTGCATTACTTAATTAAATTAAACCTTTCAAACAGATGGCAGCCCTCTTGAAAATATTTTCAAGCTAAACTCTTGTTAAGGCTCCTTTGTCTTAGATTGCGATACATATTTTAAATAAGTGATAAATTAAATTGAGTTTGATTTTTTAAACATGTGGCAACCCCATTAAATATAGATCAGAAATAAAGATTTTTGAGGCCCCCTTAGATTGATACCCAAATTTTAATAATTCATGTGAATTATTAAATACTTTGAATTTACTATTTAAACAGGTGGCAACCCGTTTCCATCACCACAAAAATTTGGCTGCTCATCCTCAATATTAGTTTAAATTAGTATTATTTTAATAGACTAGGAAACATTTTTTGCATGTATTATTTGTGGGAATCTAATCGCAGTAATAAACACTGAACATGCGGAAACTTTGACCCGTAGTTGTAGTCAGTATTTTTGCATTCTAAGAAACAGATCGGCGAAACAAAGGCCCGTCGTCATAGTCAAAATTAAGTCGATACTAAAGTTAGTTGCAGCTTTTTTGACAGGTTTCCCATTGAAAATTATGTCAAAAAGCTGCAATTAACTTTTTAATTTGGACTATAACTACGGACCTTTGTTTCCCAAATCCGTGTCGTCTAAGTATGGGAAAATACTGACTACATGTTAACAAGTTTGTTAAGGGGCCGAGTTTCTATTCCATAGATGTACTGTGTAAAAATGTCCACTCTTTTCGGTGGATACATTTGGATACTATAAAGGCTAAGGCAGTGTCAACACTAACGGCAAATAATCCGTTTATAAGCAGGTTGATCAATTGTATTTTAGCTACATAACCAGTTGAGGAAGAATAATTTTAAGTTAAGTGGCTCCTTCAATTGCTAGAATGACATGCAATCAATGCGTGTATAGTCCGCTTTACGAAAATGCTCTTTATTCATTTTTTTCGTTACACATTGAAACTCACCATCAAAGTAATAAGTAATAACAAGTAGACAAATTTTGTTTCAAACTTTTTCTATTTTTTAATGCGATTTCAATCAAATTGTGTCCTCTTCATTGCCAATCAATTTCAATAGCTTATCACAGGTCCTTTGCTACATTCCATTTACTTGCGGAGCACATAGGAGGCGCTGTATGGGTAAGCGGAATAGGCAGCATAGGGTGAAGCGTAGGCGGCATAAGGAGCAGCGGCGTAAGCGGCATAGGGTGCAGCATAGGCGGCAGCGTAGGGCGAGGCGACCAATGGGGCAGAGTAGGCTAATGGTGCAGCGACAACAGCGGGTTTAGGTTCAGCAGCAGCGAAGGCGAAGAGGGCAACGAAAACGAGAGCAAACTGCGGTCAAATGAAATTGAAAATAAAAGATTATTGTGGCTTTGTATTTGAAAATTAATTAATTAGGCAAACATTCGTAAGTACAAACACATGTTTATATATGTGCAAACATATGTATGTATATATGCTTTTATGCCCATTGCACATTTTGAATTAAAAATTTCAGGATAATCGAATTTACGATACTTACGTATTTGAACATTTTGTTTGTTTTTGTTTTTGAGTAGTTGTTTTACTGTAGTAGAGCAAAAGTTAACTGATAACAAATTTGTTAAACGCTTCAGCTTAAATACAAATAATTTGTTGTTTCGGTTTATTGGCTCGTAAGCGATTTTTCGCTATTTTTAGCTATTTTTATTTCCACATTTTGGGCTAAATATCTATGTAGTACATATGAACACATTTACTAGGTATATATGTATGTATATAAAAATTTAGGTATGTATGCAGAATACAAAAGTGAATGCAAAATTGCATATATATCAGAAATGGTATATTGTTGATAAATAAAGAAAAACAAATATGGCTGCCATGCGACAAAGGCAAAAATTTATTGCTACTTATTTATTTATGTACATATGTATTTGCATCTATTTTGGCTTTTCTGTGCTTTGTGAGTTTATATTGCATTTAGCTAAGCTGTATGGTCTACATATTTTATAACTTCATCTTTAATGTAATATTTTAAAAGCCCAAATAATTTTAGCGGTTATAAATAGCAGCGGCCCACAGTGTGAAAAATTAACTTTTTTATGGTAAAATCTAATATCTGGAAAACGAGAGGAGTTAGCGAAATAAGTTTAACAGGTGTTTAAAGCTTTTTGAATGGAGAATGCAGGAAAAATAATTCATTGGATAAAAAATTAATTTGACGCTACAAATTCTCTCCAAAATTTGGGGGTTTTAAATCGTTTTCCTTTTTTGACCTGAAAACAGTTTAAATGAACTTTTTTAAAAAGCTTTAACCATATATTTCTGTTGTTCATGCATCAAGGAATCCAATTCAGAAAAACCGAAAAATATATTTAATTTTTTTAGAAGTTCGTTACAAATTGTTTGTTTGTTTTGCCGTTTTTACAGTCAATGTAATTTTTTAATTAACGAGACCTTTAAAATTATTTCAAAAGTAAGATTACTGATTTTCCTTTCTTTTTTTTACTCGAAACAGCGTTTTCGGTTCTTACGACCATGGAAATGGATTTCCTTGACGTAAGTTCATTGGAAATTGCTTTCAGCTAAAAAAAGGAAAACAATTAAACCCCTGTTTTTGAAGGTCATTTGGTGGTTGAAGGTAATTTTGTCAGCCTACGGTTCAATTTTTCCTGAATTGTTCATCTAAAAACAAATTTATTATGCCAATGAATAACAAAAAAAACAAATAAATCAAAACTTTTAAAATAATGTGTAATTTAAAAAATAAAAAAATATTAACTTTTCTCACTGTGCGGCTAAATGCAGCAATTTCACTTGAAATTTAATTAATTTATACCATCAAGTCATCCATAAATTTATTTTTGCTACTACGTGTTTGCGTGTGTGCATTTAGTTAGAAATATTTAAGTGGGTATTTTTTTGCTGTATTACTAGCCAACATTGGCGAAATACTTTTTAGATGGTAACTCTACTCAAAAAAGTTTTGAATAAAAATGTTCTCAATAAAATACCTTACATTTTTACACAGTACTTAAACATATTCCTACAGTACTGTTCAGAAAAAGGATACCACTGCATGCGTCCACATGAAAAAAGATAATTATGTAGCCAAAGGAACTTTTGCTAACTCTGAAAGTGCCATTTATCATAAAAATATGGCTTCAAGTAGAAAAATTTAAGTATGTCCTGGAAATTTCTGATTTTAGGAAGGCACTCAAAATTGGGACATATGTATAATTATTTAATGCAAGTTTTTACTGAAGAATTTTCAAAATAGAATAATAAGAAATCTTTTAAAAATTTCACTGTGGTTCTCATCTGTCGTACTTGTTTGCCTAGGAACTACTTATTGGACGAAACGATAATGCCAGATTTCCACTAGCAAAATACCAAAAATTTTACTGTCAAAATTCGGTGTTAAGTAAAACCCACTTCTGTGCTTAATAATAATAAACATAAATTGGTTTTTTATATGTGTACTTTTTTTATATGTATGATAAAATTTGTTTGACTATTGCCCCTTTTAGGAATGTCAGTACCAAAAATACATCGATGTATTTCTTTGATTTGATGAAAATACCGATGTACATTATTTTTCGATAGATCGAAGAGCACACATCGTTGCTTCGATTTGTAGAGAATTTTTCAGATATTAGGGTATTCACGATCCGTTGTATACTGTCTAGCATGGTGCATAAGATAGCATAAAGAGCATTTTTGTTGTTGCTTAATGTGTTCAAACAACAAGAAAATTAGCCAATCATGCTATTCATGCTATCTATGCACCATGCTAGACAGTATGCATCGGATCGTGAATACCCCTAATATTTCACAGCAAAATATGTTATGAGCAAAAGTGAACAAAATTTCCACTTAATTACTGTACTTAAGCAAATTACGTTTCTAACGGAACTTTGTCAGCTCCTTCAATATTTTGGTTAAACTCAATGTAGCAGAGATGTCGGTTTTCACAAGAACATCGATGCATCGATGCTTCGACATATCGACTATTTACATATACATCGAGTGGAAAATTTTCGATGTATCGAAGCAAAACATCGATATTTTCGATCCATCAATGAAAATTCGGCGCATAATTTACAATTTTTAGTCCTAAGTAACGCAAGTTATGGAAATATGTATGTATGTTTATTTCTTTGATACTATGACTTTTTAACTTTACTCCTACTGACTAGATGATTTAGCATTTAAAAAGGTCGCATCGGACTAAAATGTGTTGGCACGTTTTGCGAAGAAGTATGTATTTGAATATGTTCATAGATACTTATAGTATACATATGTGTGTATGTGTTTGCATTACTGAATTTTCGGCAATGCCTCCCATTAAACGCCCGAACTCGTTCAAAGGTCTTTAGTTCATTAGCAAGCAAAAGGAAGGTAGCCACAACATATTGGTATAGTATTTCATATAAGCATTGTAATACATACGTACATGTACATACATATGTATATCAAACAACAAAATTCCAGTGACACTGACGCTTTGGTAATAGCATACCATCGATAACCGAATCACCGGTAGCGATTCATTAGGTATGCAAGTTGCGTCACAGCACTTAAAGGCAGCTGCCATTTGAACTGCCAACTTCACTTTACCCCTGCTCCCCCTTTGATGATGCACTTACAATAATGACAAGCCGCAACAATTCAGCTGTTGATGGGATGTAACTTGTCATTTTGGCAATTTGGTTCATTACAGAGTTGTTGTACAGTTCAGCTTGCGGCTGTTCACGCCAAATGACCACCGCCTCCATTTCGATGTATTGATAGTATTGCCTTTGTGGCGATTAAAATAATTAGAAGCGCTAATGTAAGTACTTCATAGTTAATAAATAAGAAGGACGAAGTGTGATACGAAGCCTGCAAATGAAAAAGACGACCACAAAAAAAAATATATGTAAATAAAATCAGACCCAAAACTGTCAAGGAAATTTAATGGAAACAAAAATTGAATGGTAACAATAGTTTAAAAATAAAAAGTAAAATAGATATATATCTAGATATCTGTACATATGTGCATATATACATACCTACATATTCAGACATACTATTATGTATGTATGCATGCCTAGTATTTTTATTTTTTTACTTTAATTGACACCTTTTATTTAGTCTTTGTTTTAAGCTCACAAAAATTTTGGTATTAAAATTCGTGACTTATGTTTGCACTTTAAAAAGCTAAAGCTACAAAAATAGTATGCGTCCCCATGCAATGCCAAATGCTACGCGCTTTGGGTAAAATATATAGTATTGTGTTGTACCAGTGGCGCGTAGTATATAATTTGCATATTTTAAGCCAAAACTTAGGCAATACTAACCTTTATTGTCAATTTATTATTCTAGTCCAAATAAATATTTTGAAACATTGAAAAGCGTAAATGGCAAAAAGTATTTAAACTCGAGCGATAAACGAAAACAATATCAGTTTAACTTTGTTCTTCAACAACAAACCAGCAACCAAAAAACAAAACAAAAATGTTCAAATACGTAAGTACGCTCATTTGTTTATCCTCAAGTCTGGCACTTCAAAAATACTTCTACATATCGACTTATACGTAGACTCCTTTATTTACCATTTCCCTCTATTTGCAGTTTGCTCTCATTTTCGTGGCTCTTTTCGCCTTCGCTGCTGCCGAACCTAAGCCAGCTGTCGTCGCCTACTCAGCCCCATTGGTCGCCTCGCCCTACGCTGCCGCATATGCGGCACCCTATGCCGCTTACGCCGCTGCTCCTTATGCCGCCTACGCTTCACCCTATGCTGCCTACTCCGCTTACCCATACAGCGCCGCCTATGTGCTCCGCAAGTAAATGGAATGTAGCAGAAAAACTGTGATAGTTACTGAAATTGATTGGCAATGAAGAGGACAAAATTTAGCTGCAACTTTATTGAAAAAAAAATATTAATAAAATCTGAAAATTAAAAACGAAAACTTGGATTTCTTATTGCACTTGGGAATTAGTTTTCTATTTATGATTTCGTAGTAATGTGGCATAAAGTTAAAGAAGAAATGTACCTCCAATGCTGACCAACCTATGGGTAGCTGAACTAATCTTATATGAGTAAATCTCACATTTTTCGACAAAAGCGTGGTTTTGGTCGAAAATGGTGGGACGTGTATCTTTTGTTTTGCGTAAAGACCAAGACTCCATCGCGAAATTGTATTTAAAGGTAAACTTAAAGAAGATGTTTAGTATATCAAAGCAAAAATAACAACTCGTTCTCATACATATAGTACCCGTAGTTGCATATGTAACGTATACGTCCCATAGCACCATTACCAGTCATTTGACACGTTTACTCGCAGGCCTTAACATAAAAGTCATATTATTTAAAAGTAATTAAATATTGGCTTGGAAGATTTTTACTTTCTTCACGTTTATAAAAATTTTAGAATGAATTTCGAGTGTGCAAATAAAAATTGTAAACATTTAATTTCCGTTTCTCAAATCATATTCATCTTTTACTCAATGCAAGAGGAACATTTTCACCGTTCGATTTTAACATTTTGAAGTACCTTAAATTATGATACAAAAAAGAAGGTAGTTTCAATAAACAACTTTTGACGGATAATAAAACTGTTTGAAATTTCATAAATTGTGAGTATTCTCAACGGCCTTACCAATTTGATAATATTAAAACAATCAATCGGAGTATTTTCTTTCCCACATTTATACCAATTTAATAATATTTCAAATCAAAAATCATTATCAGTGCTTGGCTATTTTTTTACTTACGAGGTTCGCACCTTTTTATTAAAAATATATAAAATAAAAATTACGAGAGCATTATGTTGTTATTTTTAAATTTTCTTATTTTGAATGCAATCATGCGATTTAAAAATCTAATTCTAAAGAATGCTTTTTCCAAATAAATCTTTATAATCGCCAATTCCATGTGAATAAATTGTTCTCAATACTTAACATGCAAGACAAAAACAAATTGGGAAAAATTATTTTTGTTTTGCTTTATAATTTTTGGAATATTTGTTCACATGAAATTCGTGATTCGTGATGAAATTCATGAAAATTTACTTTTAAATTTCTCATCAGATTTTGCAAAAAATTAGGCTTTGTGGTTAGCGTATCACCATTAACATCAACAAATTTCGAATTTAAAATTTCCATTGTACGCAAAAAACTTGAATTCGGCTTGCGCGGACCGCCCTCCGATAAGCAATTAGCATAAGTATAATTTTGATCACTTTCTTCATCCGTTCTGAAACCTAGTTACGTCAACCCCATTTTTGAGATTACGCATTAATTTTCAGATTCATCATATTCGACATCTTTGAGTGGACTGATGAAATCTTGTGCTTAAAAAAAAATATATATTACTGCTCGTGATCAGGTAGCACGAATTTAATGAAGTGTCATCATTTTATTAAAAGTCAAATGGTTAACAACAACAANAAGTGGACTGATGAAATCTTGTGCTTAAAAAAATATATATATTACTGCTCGTGATCAGGTAGCACGAATTTAATGAAGTGTCATCATTTTATTAAAAGTCAAATGGTTAACAACAACAACGAATGTCATTAAATGAAACTACCTTCTTTTTTGTATCATGCCTTAAATTATTAAAATTTGAAAAATCTTAAAGTTTCAAATATTACAAAAAAGCTGCGACAGATATTCTGCATGCTGGCATTTTTTATTTATTTTTTTGTTTGGGTGCCACACTCTTGAAACTTCAGAGATATATTGGATTTGATGCCAGCGTGCATTGCCTCTAATATGAACACTCTATTTGAAAACTTCCTGAAGATTTTGAAAATGAAAACACAAATATGTATGTAGGTATATGTGATTATTAATGGTCATTCGTTTTGGATGGGATGCCCCAAGTTATTTCATCTACTTTTGAACGCTGTGTGGCAATTTCATGAAATCAAAATTATGGACCCAAAATGGCTAATAAAAACGAAATAAAAAAATTTGAAAAATAAAATGTCATCGTAATCTACAATAAATTTTGTTTCAATTCTGATTTCATGCAATTGCTATACGGCATTCAAAATTAAATGAAATAAGCTTTCATATGCACCATCGCACAATGTTTTAAGATCAATGGGGGTAATTTTGCTGAATTATTTGTTTTCTTTTCAGCAACTCTGGAACTATTGAAAAGCTATTCAAAACAGTTTAAATTTTTATATTTGTCAAACATTAAACTTTCTAAATTTTTTTTGAAAAAAAAAAAACAAAACTTTTTCGCCTTATTTGAATAAATATTTTCTTCGGCGGATTTCGCAGAACTGTTTTTTGCTTATCAGGAACTGTAGAAATATTGAAAAGCTACTCAGAACAGTTTTAATTTTTTATTTTTGCAAACATCAAACTTTTGCGATTTGTTTGTAAAATAAAAAATTTACTTATTTTTGCAGAATTTTTTTCCCCTTATCAGGAACTCTCGAACTATTGAAAAGTTACTCAAAACAGTTTTAATTTTTAGTTTTTTCAAACATGAAACTTTTTCCCCTTTTTTGAAAAAAAAATTTTCGACGGAATTCCGCATAACTTTTTTCCTTTTCCAGACCTCCAGAACTATTGAAAAGCTACTCGGAACAGTTTTATTGAATCTGTCGTAAAAATATATATATTTTTTTTTTTCAAATTTAGAACAAAGTTCCTCCAGGAGGTGTAGTGACATTCTTAACAACCCTACTAGTATACTGATTTACTAAACTACATCAAATCAAGAAGAATGCATCCTAGAATAGTTCGATTAAATATACAGTTGATTTTTTTTTTTTTCGTTAATGAGTTTGTTTTATTTTTTCTAAAAATATTTGTAAAGCAATCAATTCAGTCTTCTTCGGCCACATTTCATTTACTTGCGGAGTACATAGGCGGCGCTGTAGGGGCTGTAGGGGTAAGCGGAGTAGGCAGCATAGGGTGAAGCGTAGGCGGCATAAGGCGCGGCGGCGTAAGCAGCGTAAGGGGCAGCATATGCAGCGGCATAGGGCGAGGCCACCAATGGAGCAGAGTATGCGAATGGCGCGGCGATGACACTGGGTTTAGGCTCAGCAGCAGCGAAGGCAAAGAGGGCCACGAAAACGAGTGCGAACTGTGGAAGGAGAGCATATTTAATAAAGGATTATTTCAATTAACACTAAATTCCACTACTCGTATGTGGAGTTGAAAGAATTTCGAAATAATTAATTAACGAATTTTCACTTACGTATTTGAACATTTTGATTGTTTGCGTTTGTTTAGTAGTTGTTTTACTTAAGTAGAGCAAAATTGAACTGATGACAGATTTATTATAGTTTGTACTTTATATACCATTTTCAAAAATCATGACTATGCTTACACAAACGTACATGTATGTATGTAAGTATATATGCAACGGAGTATTATGTATCTAGCCACGAGTGGGTTGGACGGGTAACCACAAAAAAGCGACCTTATTGAGTTACTTAAACATGTACACACTTTGATGGCAATTGAATGGTTTAGGTTTATGCACGCAAGAGCAATAATCTACATGAATGTTATGTATGCATGACCCATAATTTATTTTAAACGGTCAATAAACATAAAATTTATATCACATTCTATACATA